ATTACTTCATTCCTAGAGCAGTCCATTCGAATCCAGTTTATGATGCATGTCTACTTCTAAAAAGGTACCAGTAAGCATATCTATTCACCTTTAACCTGAAGAGGAAAATTCATGAGATTTTTTTTCAAAGGAAAACATCAGTGTCTTCACTGAAATGGTTGTTTCTTAAAGCATCCACATTAAACTGAAGAAGCAGTTACATAACATTTTCCCCTTCATCCTGGTTTTCATTGCCAAATTCAGTTTGAGGGTTCAGGTACTATCTGCTTTCCTTTTACTAACAAATACAAGGAAAATGAAGAAATATACATTTTCTGGCTTAAGCTCGCTACTCATTCAGGAGGGCAGGGGTCTGTCCATTCCATCACTTTGGCCTCCTCTGCCTGCCACCCTGTCTTCCTCCAGCCCCAGAGGAGGGTGTCTCTGGATACAAACCATTAAGACCCAGGGTGACAGCATCCCCAAGGATTTGCAGAAGATGGTGTGAGTATCAATTCCCACTCAGCACATATGGAAGAATGTATGGAGGAATACTTCCACAAGCATGTGAGGCCCTACTATGAAAAGAAAACCATTTCATAGTCAAGTGGAACATGAAGAGGTACAAAAGCACCAAGAAAACAATCAAAAAAGAAACATTTTCTTTTCCCCATGTTCCTTGCTACTGCCCCATGAATCAGTTTTCTCATCGGGTACCCACTTCTTCAGTCAAGGTTCTAATGAAGATGCTGCATCAGAGCTCTTGGCCCCTCAATCCTAATTTGCAATTCCCTATTCCTCTCCCGGGCCCTCCTGGTGGCTCAGGGGTAAAGAACCTGCCTGCCAAGGCAGGAGACCTGGGTTCGATCCCTGGGTCAGGAAGATCCCAGGGAGAAGGAGATGGCAACCCACTGCAGTACTCTTGCCTGGGAAATCCCCCGGACAGAGAAGCCTGGTGTGCTACAGTCCACGGGGTGGCGAAGAGTCGGACACAATTTAGCTTCTAGGCAGACACTCCTCTCCAGAGTGTAACCTACACCTTTGCCATCCGTCTCACCATCTGTCACAGTTCATGAGCACACATGTAGGATGATTTGTTTATCCTCTGTCTTCCCCACTAGACTAGAAGCTTCCTGAAGCAAGGGACGGTTTTTGTTCACCACGCTATCTTCAGAGCTACAGACCAGAGCTTGGCCCCGAGAGACTCAACTTAAAATGGCCCTAATGAATAAATGGGGACACAAGGAAAATCAAATCCCACACTGGCTCTGCCCACATCCTCAGGGGTATGTGTTCGCAAAAGAGGTATGTAAACTGATACTATAAATGCAAAGACTTAACCTCCCTTCCCCAAACCTAAGATACAAATCTGGCTGGAAAGGAATCATCAGGAAATTCTCGAGGATTATCTCATCCCATGGTTCCTTTATTCCTTATATACAGATGTTTATACTGTTAATACTTTTACTCAGTATACCACTTAATCAGTACTTTCCTCCTGGTACTTAACATTTTGTTTTCTTTTATAATCACGTGCCTGTCTTATTTACTGTACAAACTTCCTGGGAACAGGAGAATACGGTATGCAAGTCAAAGTAAACCTTACACCCTAGAGCTTTATTTATAAAGTACATGTATAAAGTTTACCTTTGCATTTGTAACTGATACAACTAGGCAGAGATTAGAGAAGTATATTAATAGAAGATGCTTTCTAAGTCTCTTAAAGTAATACATATCCCCACCTAGATCGAATGTGTAGAAAGAGGCTGTAGATTTCTATTGAATTTTACCATGCTCTTCAACAGCCACAGGAAAGGTACAATATTTCAAGAATGACTGACAGCTTCATCTTCATACAAATATCTGCACAGAAGTCTCTAGTACACCATAAACAGTAACATAAAACAGAGACCCTCTAGCAAAAGGGAGAAAGCCTTTTTCATGAGTATTACCTCTACATTTTCCTCTTTTTTCTTTTCCATATTGTTTACTGCAAGGTACTGAACATAATTCCCTGTGCCGCACAGTAGGAGCTGTTACTATCCATCCTACATATAATAGGTTTCATCTGCCAGTCCCAGTCTCCCAGTCCAGCCTCCTCCCTCCCCTTAGCCCTCTGCAATCACAAGTCTGTTCTCTACGTGAGTCTGTTGTGTTTTCCTTCAAATCAATAGTCAATGGACCACAACCTTTCTTTTCAATCATTCCTAATTTAACCTTGTGACCTATTTAGTTGTATGTTTTTCTTTATTTCACCGGTCAGAACCAGGGATCATTATTCTGTCTGGAGTACTTCTCTGCAGTACTAAGGGCCTTCCAGGTGCCCATCAGGCACCTCTGCTCAACAGGGTGGCAGGACAGCCGCTGGGGTGCCCTATGGTTATCATGGCTTCCCACTGTCCGCCAGAAGCGCTGACTCCTTACAGCTCACCATCACATCTGAGCTTCATGATTGTGAGCCCAGGCATCCACCATTAGGGCTGTTCTGACCAGTGTGAGTAGGTATCCATAATCTTTGAATTAGCACCACAATCAAAGCAGATACTTGTGAATTAGGTTAAATTCCACAATACTGGAAAATAAAATTTAAGAGGAAGCAAGTTTAAATAAATGTCAGGGCCTTTTTAAGTCATACTCTGTCACTGTACCAGGGAAAATCATCAGCTCAGGTAATGATGCTTTTCCCAGAGGCCAAGCCCCCCATGATCATTGCCCTTATTCATTTCTTGTCTCAAGTCATCTGCAGCAGACCTATTTTCTAAGCCCTACAAAAGACAGTTAAGTCATAATCAACATCTTTTCAGTGGACAGTGATTTAGCTGCATAAATCCCCTCAAACCTCATCAGAGTTAACTGCCTACCTTTCCATTAAGGCTTTGCAAAATGAATTTAACATGCATCTCACCTCCACCTTTTGAAGGAGGTGACAGTAACCAGTGAAAATGTCCAAAAAGATGGGAGCAAAAACTGCAGTCAAACAGGCTGAAAAAGGAATCTGTATCATATTTGCCTCCTTTCACACAGAAAAAAATACTCCTCAGAAAACTTAAACATCTATTTTTTGACAAAAGCTTCAACTATAAAGGCTTTTAATTACTTAATTTGTGTCTTTCAACGTGTAATAAGACAATGAGAAAACTGAAATAACTGCAGGAGTAGATTTTAAGTACTGGGAAAAGCCTAGCTCCCTTAATTAAATGCATTTTTTAAAACAGAAAAACCAAATTCTTCAACTCTTAAAACTATCTGCCTTAACGAGCCCCGAGGTGATTCTTGAGCCACTCGTAGGTAAAAGAGGAAAAAGTTCAGTGACCTTGTAAATTAGGGACTAAAACGCTGTCATGGTGTGACAGTCAATACAGTCTCAGTGAAATTACAGGAAAACATTTGTCCAGAAATTGTTTTTTTGGGAAAATTACCATGAAGAAGGGGAAAAGGCCGGGGTTAAAACTGGGAAGGGAGGTGACGAATGGTAAAATACCGAATGGAAACCCGAACGATGCAAAATTAAGACCTTTTCTGCCCCAGCTGTCAAGCAAACAACTTCCAAGCATCTTCAGATAAAAAGGAAAACGGTGATTTGGCACAGGCGTCAGTTGAATGTCGGACAGTTGGATGAATGGGGCAGACTGGTTATATACACCTAGTGGTGGGTGGATTTCCCAGGCTGCAGCCTCCACAGCTTTCCTTTGCTGCACTGCAGAGGCGCCATCTTCTCCGTCTTAATCTTCGCTCAATTTCCAGCCTTTTATCTGCACCCTAAAAAAAAAATGACCCCGAGGACCCTCCCCAGCAGCCCGCGCCCCCCGGGGGGAGGTAAATCACAGTGCCCAGCGCTGCCAGGGAAGTGGCCGCGCCTCGATCCGACAAACGCCTCGTTTGATGCACAGGAAGGGAGAACTCGTGCAGCCCCGCCACCCGCCCCTGCCCTTTCCAGACGCACGCCGCACTCTCCGCGTATTTTTCCCCCAAGGACTTTGCAACCGAGAAAAGAATGAGCCAGCCTCGGAGGTGATGGGGGGAGGAGGGGAAGAGGGCTTCCGAGGCGCCGCCAGCGAGTCCCCAGCAGCGCCCCAGCCCCCTCCGGGACGGCCGCGCAGCGCGGGGAAGGGAGTCAGGCGGGACGCTCGGTGGCGCCCAGACCACCGCACCCCGGGGCTGGCGAGGGCGGGGTGTCGCGGCTTTGTTCCCGGGGACCTTCTCCCTCTCCGGGTGAATCTGAGGGTGCGCGCGAACGCCCTGGATGTCTAGGCTTGGGGAAGGTGCGAGGTGGCTGTAGGTCTCCGACCCCTCCCTTCTCTCGCAACTTAACACAAAAGGGAGACGCCGAGAGACACAAAGTTTGCCCGCGGAGGGCGGTGCGCGACCCTCCTTGGGGTCGCCCTCGGGGGCCTCCGCGAAGAGGGAGGAGGAAGAGGTCTGGAGAGGAAGGGGTGGTGGGGATGCGAAAGGAAGGTGAAAGCGGGCGGAAAGGCCAAGGGACGCGACGGGGTGGGGTGGGGTGGGGGGGGTGCCCAGCTTCCCCGAGCCGTCCCGACTCCTCCTCCCCGGGGCCCGAGAGAAAGGAAAGGGCAGCGATTAAGAAATGGGGACAGAAGACAGGGACTCTTGCGTTTTCGGTTTTCCCCACGTGTTCTCTCGCCCCCCACCGCCCATCTGAATGTCGCTCGCCTCCCCCGGCCCCCGGCGCCCGGCCCCGAGCAAAGGACTGAATCAGGATCTGAGCCTAAAAGAGCCTCCTCCTCTACTCGCGGCCCGCCACACTGGCGCGGACCCCGGGGCCCCACGCCTCGCCGGATCCCTCTGCGCCGGCCGGAGCGCGCGTCCCCGGGGCAGGGCTGGGGCGGAGGCGGAGATGCGCAGGGCGCCCGCAAGCGGGGGCGTAGGGCGCAGAGCCGAGAGAGGGGGTCCCTCGCTCGCTCCTCCCCAATCGCCCCGCTTCTCTGGATGAAAGAGGGAGCCGGTCCCCTCCATCCTCCACCCCCCTCCACCGTCACCCCATTCCGAGGCGCGGCACTCACCTCCAGCGCCCGAGCCGTCCAGGCGGCCAGCAGGACCAGTGCCAAGGCGGGCAGCATCGCGACCCTGCGCGGGGCACCGAGCGAGCTGCCGTGCGAGGAGGAGCCGCCGCGCCCTTGCTCTGCCGGTGTCGCCGCCGTCTCCGGTGGCCCCGCGCTCTGCTGCTCCGGGTGCTCGCTCTCCTACCGCTGCCGAGGAAACTGACGGAGCGGCGGCGCGGCGGCGGGGCTCGGAGCCCGGCGAGTCAGCTGATCCGGCCCACCCCGCTCGGCACCCGAGAGAGACCCCTAGCGGAGCCGCCGGGGAGCTGCGCCCGCTCGGCCGGGAGGGGCCCGCGCCCCGCGAGGCGCCCACAGGTGCGGCTTCCCCGCGCGCGCCTTCCCGGGCCGCGACCACCCGGGCCCCCGAGCAGTAGGAGGGAGAAAGCTGGGGCCGGGCAAGGGGAGTCCTAGGACGTCTGGGTTCCAGAAAAGTCGAGGGCGCTCCCCGCGAGCTTGAGTCATCGGACCCTGCAGGCCTCTCGGGGGTGTCGTAGAAAGGACTGCTGTTGGGCGCGTTTTAATCCACATTTCGATTTTTTTTTTTTTTTTTTTGTCTGTCTCGGTTTGGAGAGGTCGAGGAGGAGTTTCTGCAAGAGAACGCAACAAGCTTAAAGGAAATAGGATTTCTTTGCTTGTTAGGAGAGCAAAAGCCTCCCCCCGCACCACCCCACCGCGCCCCGCCCCAGTCAAATGCAGCCACGAGGAACCTGGAATTTCTATCTTTAGACCCAACCGAAGGAGAAAGGCGCCGGACCTGGAGAAGAAGCGGCGACCTATTTAGTTCTCCTTGAGAGAAGATTTTGTTTAAAAAAAAAAATTGTTTTGGTTTGAGAAAGGGAAGACCATATGGGTGGTGGTGGTGGTGTTTTTTAATCAGGCAGGGATGTAATATCATCTGAGATGCGGTGAAGTGAAAGTTAAGAGGGGAAGGGTTTGGAAAGATGACTCCCGTTCGACCCCAATAGCTCAAGCTCTGTCCTTGTTCTTGCTTGTGTCTGTCCTAAATCACAGAAATGAACCTTCTGGGAAGCCACTTTCTCCTCGATTAAACACCAACCATCCAGTGTCGGGTCAGTGTCTAGTGAACCTAGATGGTCTAGAACTGCCCAAATGTATGCCCTGCTCTTGACCGAAAGGGGCCGCAGTCACCAAGGCAGGGTCCCCAGCCGGCCTAGGGGAAGGGAAGAAGCCACGGAGTCAGAGGTGGGGTCTTCGCTCCGCCAGAGGTTGCCTGCTTCCTTCCGGAGGAGTCTGTTTCTCTGCCGGCTGCCTTACATGTAGTCGTCTGTCTTCAGCCCCCTAGGCATCCAAGCCTGACTCGTGGATTACTTTCTCCCGTGAATGACCTTTGAAGGTCCTCCACAAATAATGACAAATAATTCGTTGCCTCGAATTGTTTACCTTTGTTGTCATCGTTGAGTTGCGCAGTCACTTCCACTCTTGGCCACCGCAGGGTCTGTGACCCACCAGGCTCCTCCGGCAGTGGGATTTCCCAGGCAAGAATACTGGAGTGGGGTGCTATTTCCTTCTCCAGGGGATCTTCCCAACCCAGGGACCGAACCTGTGAATTGTTTACCACTGAGCCATCAGGGAAGTCCATTTGTTGACAAGCTTTATGTCATTTCCTTTCCATGGAAGCCCATGAGGCCCTTACTGTTATTCTTCCCATTTATAAATGAGGACTCTGAAGACCTTCTAAATCTGACAGCAAGTAAGTGACAAGTAGTTGGAACTGCAGGGGAAAAAAAGCCCCAGTCACAGCAAAAACATGTTCTTCCAGACATGTTGACCCACCACTACAGTTCTGTCTGTCCTAGGTTTCTGTTAGCAACTGAGGGCATCTGCATACAAATAGGAGTATGACTTAAAGATGGGGAGGGAGCCGGGCCAGCTACAGAATTTACAGGGTCCAGCACAAAACTAAACAGTGGGACCCTCTGTTCCCAAATTAAGAATTTTAAGATGGTAACAGCAGAACGGTAACCACGCATGGTGCCCTGAGCATGGGGCCATGTATGACCCTCCAGACTGCATGTCCCTGGAGCTAGTCCTGGCAGGGAGGAAGCGTTTTTTTTAAGAGTTAAGGGACTTTTATTGAGCACAAAACTAAAAAATAGAGAGGTGAGGTTATAATCTCTGAAAATACAAGTCCTTTGGTGTGGCATATTCCCTTCCCACTGTTGAGATGCACCTCACTCACCTATCCTTGGAAAAGATCTTCCCCGAGGAAAGATGATTAGCTGCTGACTGTGTCGGAATGATGGTCATTCTTCACTCTTTCTCTTGCTTCATCACCACTCAGAGATCCTGTTGGTTTTGCTTTTCAGCCAGTGTCCCTGTTCTGCGTTTAATGCCATTTCCTGCCCCGAGGTTGTCTGCAGGATACTCTGAGGAGTAAATACCAGAACATCTCCCCTTAGAACTGTGAACACTGGGAAAGGGACTACCCACCCACTGGCTTTGATCTCCACATTTCCAGGCCAGACCCAAAGGCCCCAGCTTAGGAGACATTCACTAGCTCTCCAGACAATGCATTCTGTCTTTGGACTGCTCTGGTTACTCGAAAAGTCTTAACGCCACTTAAAGCCCACATCCTTTTCCTTTAACCTGCCACTCAGATGTCCCTCTTGCACTTCTGCGACCAAGCCAAGCCAGTCTTTTCCACACCACAGACCTCCACATCGATAAAACCAGCAGTTTTCCTGTTACTCCAGGGTCCTGTCTTCACAAAGTAACACCTTCACCAGCTCCTTCACCAGCTGTGGCAGTGGCACGGTGGCCCCTGTTTCTGGTTCCTTCCACACCCCTCTGACTGTGGTTTGTCTCGTCTTTTCACAGGGCTCCAGGGCTGCTGCGGTCACTGCAATGTGAAGGAGTCCGTTGCCTGCCTCAGCCTGCAGGTGAGTGTTGGATTGCATTGGGTGGACTCGAATTGGTCACATGTGCTACCAAACCTCCCATCTGTTTTAGGCATACTGCTGCTGAGTCGCATCGCTGTCACCTTATGTTTAGGGTGTTATCTGTGCCCTGCAAATATCACCAAAAACAATCTGTTTTTTTTTTTAATTGGCGTATGTGTGTGTGTGTGTTAGTTGCTCAGTCATGTCCGCCTCTTTGTAGCTCTGTACACTATCGCTCGCCAGGATCCTCTGTCCATGGAATTCTCCAGGAAGAATACTGGAGTGGATTTTCCCGACCCAGGAATTAAACCCGGGTCTCCTGTATTGCAGGCAGGCTTTACCGTCTGAGCCCCCAAGGAAGCCCTTATTGGGGTATAGTTGATTTGTAATATAAGTTGCAGATGTGCAGTGTGATATTCACAGTTTGTAAAGGTTATACTCCATTTATAGGCATTGTAAAATATTGGCCATATTCCTGTGTTGTACAGTATATCCCTGTAGCTCACTTATTTTATATGTAGTAGTTTGTACCTCTTAACCCCCTACCCAGGTCTTGCCCTTCCTCTCTTCCCGACTCAGTAACGGCTAGTTTGTTCTCTTTAGCCACGAATCTGTTTCTTTTTTGTTACATTCACTAGTTTGTTTTGTTTTTTTCCATTCCACATATGAGTGATATCATGCAGTATTTGTCTTTCTCTGTTTGATTTATTTCACTTAGCATAATACCCTCCAAGTTCATTCATGTTGTTGCAAATAGCCAAGTTTCCTTCTTTTCTGTGGCTGAGTGTGTGTGTGTGTGTGTGTGTGTGTGTGTACCCCATCATCCATTCACATGTTGCTGGACACTTAGGTGGCTTCCATTATCTTGTCTGTTGTAAATAATGCTTGTAATGCTTCTGTGAACATCGGGGTGTGTGTGTCTTTTTGAATTAGTATTTTCACTTTTTGGGTATATACTCAAGGGTGGAATTGCTGGGTCGTGTGGTACTTTTATTTTTAGTTTTTTGAGAAACCTTTATTCTGTTTTCCACAGTGGCTGCACCATTTACATTCCCACCAACATGTACTGGCTGCCCTTTTCTCCATATCCTTACCAACACTTGGTATTTGTGTTCTTTTTGATTTGTGTTCTTCTTTCTTGCTTTAGCTGTTCTAAAAGGTATGAGGTAATATCTCATTGTGGTTTTAAATTGCGTTTCTCTAATGACTAATGATGTCTAGCATCTTTTCTTATGAGTTTTAGCCATCTGTATGTCTTCTTTGGAAAAATGTCTATTCAGGTCTTCTGCTCATGTTTTAATCAGATTTTTTTTAATATACTGAGTAGTATGAACCGTTTATGCATTTTAAATATTAAGCCCTTATCAGTCATATCATTTGCAAATACTTTCTCCCATTCTGTGGGCTGTCTTTTTGTTTTGTCAAGGATTTCATTTGCTGTGCAAAAGCTTTTAAGTTTAATTAGATCCCATTTGTTTATTTCTGCTTTTATTTCCTTTGCTTTAGGAGACAGATCCAAAAAGATACATGGCTACAAGTTATGTCAAAGTGTTTTGCCTGTGTTTTCTTCTAGGAGTTTTATGATTTCCTTCAAAAGCAGTGGTAGCCTGAGCCAGAAGGTGGGGGCTGTATTAGTTGGCTAGGGTTACCGTAACAAAGTATCACAGTCTGGGCAGCTTAAACAGCAGCAGTTTATTTTCTCACTGTTCTGGAAGCTGGAAGTCCATGATCAGAGTGTTCAGAAGGTTTATTTTCTCTGGGGCCTCTCTCCACCTGCAGATGGGCACCTTCTCCCTCTGCCTTCCCATGGTCTCCTCTGCGTGTCTGTGCGGTAATTCTCTCTTCTAAAGACACAGGTTGTATTAGATTAGAGGCCACCCTGAAGACCTCATTTTAACTTAATTACCTCTTTAAAGACCCTGTCTCTGGAGCTTCCCCAGTTGTCGAGACTCTGAACTGCTGGTGCAGAGGACTAGGGGTCCGTCACTTTGTTGGAGAACTAAGATTCCACTTGCCGCACAGCATGACCAAAAGATTTTTTTAAAAAGACCCTGCCTCCAGTTATAGTCAAATTCTGAGTTACTGGAGGTTAAGACTTCAACATAGGAATTTGGAACA